CTGCAGATTTCAGACAATACCACACAGCATAGATAGAAAAACACAACGAGTGAAAGAGAAACCGAGAGAGAGAAAAAAAACTTTAAAAATTCAAATCTACTATTTTGTCGCCACACTTGTCCTTCCTGTGCAGAGGAAACCGGATGACGATGTTCTGGGGGCATGTTCAGATAAATGATATTAATCTCTAATACAATACTACATCCTGTAGTTTTCTTTACCATAATAATATTCCCCACTATTTAACTTTTCAGCCCTTTAGCCTGGGGGCAGAAATGAAACGTCCGTTTGAGACAGAGCAGGACCCACTGTTCAGCTGAGCAGATTCAACAATCAATCACTTCAACTAGTTTCAATGTGTTTAAAATGTAAAGGGAAAAGACAAAAGGATGCTCGCCATCGGACTGTCGCACAGCCCATCGAGTGTGTGTGTGTGTGAACGCGCTTCCACGTGCATCTGATTTATATCCAGGAAACCCTCGTAAGGGGCTCTGAGATGCAAGACAGCACAAGAAGGAAAGTGTTTATACGAGCGCAGACGCATGTTCTCCTCGATGCTTCTAGACACCTTGAATTACTTTTTTTTTTTCACTCAGCAGGAGATCCTGGGCGGCGCTAAGCAGCCTCATTCGTATAAACCCAAAGGCCAAAATAAGACAAGATGTGACAAGCTCCTGAACTCTTGCCATTCAGCTCCTCACCTTCTATTCTCTCACCAGCGTCTGCTCCGCTCAAAAAAAAAAAAAAAAAAAAGTCTCCCTACAGCTAACCCGCTTTTACAATCTTGGTGAATCCCTCACAACTGCAATCAGTCATGAAGGTCTTTAATTAATGCAACAGGAAAGCAGAGGTCTAAGCCAGGGAAGCTGAAAACAAGCCAGTACTTAGAGTCAAATCACACTTTGATAAAGTTACACTTCCATCGTTCTGTCCTGCCCCGTTTTCCCATGTTCTTTGTGAGTCAACAACAAGCAGACGGCCAGACAGATTGTCTGTACATACACTGAATGAAAAAAAGAAAACCTCATTTATTTACTTGTGAACTTAAATTTATTAAGGCTACCTCTGAAAGTGGGTTTATTTTTTTAAGCCTAGTGTAAAGTCTTGTTTTTTTTCTTCTGTTATTAACTCAATAGAGGCCATTTTAAGGTAGTCAATTTTCACAAGACAGGAATGTATTTTTTTAATAATAGCCAATATAAATAAGTCCTGGAGAATTAAAATGGTTATTAATAGTAAAAAATGTTACTGAAAGGAGAGCAACTCATGTACAGTAGAGTTAGATTCAGCCATTGCAGTGTTAAAGAAAACCCTCCAACCAGCTAATGTAACTAACAAAAGTCAACTGTTAAAATCAGTCCGTTTGAACCTTGTTGCATGAACCAACCCATATATGGTGGCCTTTATTGTCAAATCTGTAAATAGTAGGGCTTCTACTTTGAAGTGACACCCATTGTTACAGTTTTATTGGGTCTGGCTCTTGTTTTTGTCTGTGTGAGACGCTGGTGTGAAGTTAACCAGCCAGTTTCTTGATGCCGCATCTAAAAAGGCGAGAAAGCTAACTCGCATGCTGTCCTGCTTGTCATAAACAGTGGTTTGGCCAAGCAGCTGGTTCTACTGAAAGATCTGACTGGTCGTTAGACAAACAACATGTTTCTTGGACAAGATTTGGCTGGCTGCATCAGTTCCACAGAGCTCAGGTTGAATATTACTAAGCCCAGGGTTAGAAAAACACATTTGGATGTTGCAGTTGAGCGTTATCGTGTGAAAAAAAGTGACATCCGCTGGCATTGTTAGCTCATTGTAAGCATTAATATCCTGACTTAAATAAGACCGCTAGTACAGAAGGTGTCTCAAAAATGATTTGAAAAACAACAATTCATAAAAAGACAACTAGAATTAGCTTAAGCTTAGTCACCTACAAAGCTTTGAACAGGAAGCTTTAGCAACACCTAAGTGTAACATTACTTACACTTGCAAATTACATTCAACTTTTCATTGTCTTAAGTAGTCTGTAAATAGAACAATAGCTAATACCTTGTATTTTACCGCTGGAACAATTTAAATCAAGAGGGATAGAAATATACAATACAAGGAATCCTTCTAGAATTGTAACTTGTAGCTAACTAACCTGGTACAACATCAACTGGAAATAGGCCAATACTAACAGAAGTGAATCATCGCCTGTTGTACCAAAGTCAAATCCAATTTGGTTAAAAATCCATAAGAGATGTCTTAAGAAAATGCTTTTTAAAATTATGAGACATGGACAGCAGTTGAATTAAATGGCCTGGTTGAGCTTTAACTGCTGCTTAACTTAAATGTGCGTGTAAACATACGGTCACTGGCTACAGCTCATCACTTCCATAATTGACTTGTTGTCTACCGTGCATGACTCATAGCCATTACTGAAGCTCACTGTTACAGTTTTATGGCGATGTTGGCACATTTTCATTGTGAGAGATAATCATAAAAGTCAGCAGGAGCCATAACAACAGAGAAACGCATTTACTGTACATTGTATATACACTCAAAGCACTCAACATGTCTAAAAATGTGTTTAAAATTAGGTTTTATATTTTTTAACTTGGGGAAAAAAAATCAAATAAACTTCTGCAAAAAAGTTCTGGAAACTATCAAAGTTTTTTTTCTTGGTAGCATGTTTAGAAAATAATTATAAATATATATTCAAAAAACAATGTTAAATATCCAAGTCAGCCAACAATAAGGCAAACACTTTTGACTAGCGTGGCACTTTATATCCGACTGGTGTGGTTTAATTTTACAATAAAAATCCTTTTAAACCTCCACATCAAAGCGACCAACACGACAAATCTCACACCTCCTGGTGCAATCCTCATTTAATGGCCACACTCCCACAGCAGCCACTGAGCCCCAGGTTAACACACAAATAAGGCATTAGAACTTACAACTTCTGCTGCCCTCCCCCACCCCTCCCCCTCTCTTGACTTGAAGTCTAATCACTCCATCAAGACTCACGTCATCAATGCACTTATCAAGCTTATAAATTGGACCTTCCTTTATTGCTGTGTGGCTTTGAGGGACACAAGCCAAACAGCCTGTTTGTTTGCGTTGGCTAGTGGCTACCAGAGCCGGGACGTGCCAACTTGGCCAAAATAGGACATGAACAAAGTTAATAATGTCTGGACTGTGTTTTCCAAAGCTTCTATCCTAGTAATACGGCCTAAAAGTGAGTGAGTTGCATCAGAAAATCCAGTCTCTTCAGCACCAGAAACTCACAAATCGCCTTTGGCTTTCTGTGCCCACGATCATAACATTCACAGCACCACAGTCACAAAGTAACAGTTTTCCTGAGTGAAAACTCGAATGTATCGCTTTGTGAATTTCTGTTTCCTACGGTGCGTTCAGACCAGAGACATGGTCAGCCTCAGTGGCTGTCATAAACAGATGAAAAGCCCAGAGTAAGAGCATAACCAGCCTGCCGGCACGTCTCACCTTCTGTGAGCCATGTCTCTTGGAGTTGGCTTAAATCCTGGAAGAGGTCTAAAAAGAGAGAAAAACACACAGAATCAATACACTGCATGATGGCATCATGAAACAAGTCAAATGAAAAGTCAAATGAGGCCAAAACAAACAAAAAAAATCCTCTCCTACTTTACCTTCAGAGTCCTGAGGGGGTAATTCTGTGTCCATGTATTTCCTTTTTGCTGCCATCAACAGTCTATTTAGGGGCCCATTTCCTAGCGTCTTCTGTCAAACCCAGAGATGTTAACAGACGAGTTAGAGTCACAGTCCAGTTGGGCATTTTCAACACATAAATAAAAATAAAAAAACAAAACAAAACAAAAACAAAAGTAGAAAGCTTTATGGTTTCTTTACTGTCCTGGAAAAACTCGGTTTGTGTGTGACTTGTGCCAAATCTGGTCAAAATACAGTGTAACACAAACTTTGACTGGTTGAGTTTTTTTGATAATATAAAAAAATGATTGGTTTGTGGTTGGGAAATGAAGCCTACAGCAGTTATAGGTGAACATCAGCCTCCTCTGCTGAGACAACAACACATTTCTCAGCTGTGGAGACAATCTTGGGGGAAATAGAGAGAGAGAGAAAAAACGCGCTGTTTGCGCCTGAACCAAAGTGACCGTTTGGCACAGACTGACGCGCTGCCTGCGCGGACAGCATTCTCCACGGAGTGAAAAAGAAATCGCTTATAGACATTAGAAAACACGACACTGTCTAACATTTGGTGTCGCTTTTACGCGCGCGGAGGAATTGTTTTCCATTGCGCTCACGCTGCAGCTTCAGCGAGAGGGGAGAAAAGTCGCGTACGCAGAGATAAAGCCCCGGCAGTCGAGATGTGGAAATAACACGTTAGGTAAAAGGCAATGAAAGTAAGAAGAGAGTTGATCCATACGTACATTTGCTAAAGTGTAAGGCACTTGCTGGTCCAAATATCCATCCATCTTATAATCCGTCCGTTAACCGTTTGTGGTCATTTAGGCTGAGTGGAGTGAGATCCACGCAGCCGTGCACACAGAGGAGGGAGCTGCTGCTGCTGCCGCTGCTTGTGAATGGAGCTGCGTGGAGGCTGCATGCATAATGAGCTCCATTCACAAAAAAGGCCGAGGGGAAGTGATGGCGAGTGATTACCCAGCAGGCTGCTGCCCTCCTCACAAATCTTTTTTTGTGCGTGTGCGTGTGTGTGAGAGTGTGTGAGAAGGAGAGAGAACTTTAAGATAGAAAATCCTGTTTTTTTGCACTTTAAGAAAGTTTGCAAAACTTTTGCTGAGCTGGTGTACACTGGTTGTACTGTGAATGGTGTTAATGAATTAATTCATGTTTGTTTTTTTACATTTTAGTCACACGGTGGAAGAGGACTTTGTCTTTTAATTAGTTATTTGAATAGTTTTTTTTTTTTTTTTTTTTTTGCAGTTTTGCAGTTAGTAAGTGCTTTAGCCTTACAACAAGAGGGTTTCAGGTTTGATTCCCAGTTGTAACCGATGCTCCCTTTGTTGTTGGGTTTTCATGTTTTCCTCATGTAGATATCCAGGTACACCAGTTTCCTCCTACAGTGCACCAACAGGCAGGTATAGGTCACCAGTTGTCCTCTAACACTGCGTAACACAGTTATTTTATTCCTGTGCAACAGTTTCATTAGTTCTTTGGTCTAATCTAGGTGGGTTTGCTCATGTTTAGGTTAATGTCGAGTTCTTTCAGCTCATCTTAGTTATCTTAAAGCTATCCTCTTGACAATTATTTTTTATAATTGTTTTTAATTATTCTAATTTTGGGTGATGTTTCAGCCTGCTTTTTTCTTTGGCTCTTTCTACCTTACATTGTTAAAACAATGTTATTGGTATTGTGCTAACAGCAGTCTCTAATGGCAATTCTCTAAAGCAAGGGTGTCAAACATATGGCCCACGATTCAAAACTGGTCCGCTCAAAGTTTCAATCCAGCTCACTTGGTGAATTTTGAAAAAAACATTAATAAACAAACACTTTATGTTCAGGAAATGTTTTGTAAAATTATCATTCACTAAATATGAACATTTATCAAATGTACCTTTTGCATGGAAACAAAGGTGTAAAAGACAGACTTTTGGTATATATAGGCCGTGATGTTATGATTGTACTAGCTCCCTTGACATCTACTTTTTCAGTTTGGATGATTGTACTAGCTCCCTTGACATCTAACGCTGCTTTAAAGGGACTAGGGGGTGAAAAGACATTCATCTACTGATGCAAACTTTTTCAGTTTGATAAAACAGAGGAACTTCTAACTTTTACCTGCTTCATCTGACAGAAAATTTCTAAAGAAAGAAAAATATATCGGTGCAAATCCTTGAAAACCCATATTTTAAAAACACCTACGTGAAAATGGCTTTGCTTTATACTCTTGTAGTTTTGTTCTTCGTCTTTTTTTTTCCAGAAAATAAATAAATAATTCCAGTGGAATTATGAAGCATATAAGAGGGCCGACTGTAAAAGTGCAACAGCCATTTTACTCCAGTTTGTTGGGCCGTGTGCCACGTCTGCCCAGATCACCCTGCAGGCTCCACTTTCTGTATAGGAACAAGTCCAGCAGTGAAGCTGTGAGGGGAAACAGATGTTTGTATTTCAGTACGGTCACTGCAGCACAAAGCATAACTTTTGTCCTCCACTCAAAATAAGTGACTTGCGCCGTCCGAACGAGTTGTGTGTTGAAGTGGGACGACTTTTAAAAGACCAGCTGTGCTGTCATATCTGTAACAGGCAGGATTTGGGGGAAGAACAGTGAGAATGGCTGTTCCAGCTCAGACCAGAGGAGGTCCCTGATTGGTGGATTCACTCTTTCAAGGGCTCAAATTTCTTGCCATTGTCCGCATGACTACACTGACTTATGAATGAAGTCTCGGTCCCCACTATGAGCCAATCACAGGCCTGGTATTCAATGTCCTAGCAACGCTGGGTGGAGCGTTCACCACAGCAGCCAATGGCCTCCCTGCAGACTGTGGGCTTTTATACTGGATTTTCCAGTTGTTTTTCATTCACAAAAAAGAGGGAGAGGGAAAGTCAGAGAGAAAAAAAGTACTTCCATTCATAAAAACCTGCCCTGGCATGAAAACCCTGACATGTTGTTCCTCTTTTCCTGCCTGTATAAATTCAAAAGAACCTCACGTTGTTTACCTCCTCTTGCGTCTCCTGCTGCTCCACTTATCGGGCAGCGAACACCGTCACACAGTGAAGGCAGTGCACACATCAAACCTGACACAAATCTCTTCAGGAACATGCCCCCCTGCATTCCGGCGGTTTTTAAGTCTACACCACACAAAAACCACTGGAGTTAAAGTTGTCCACTGAGCCTTGTACATAAGAGCAGCAAAACTGTGAAGTGTTTGTTGTATTTTCTTTTTTTCTCAAATGGCTTGATTAAAGCCACAGGGACAGTGAGCTTTTAAAGAAAGAACAGCAGCACAGCCAGCAGACAGGAAGCAGAGTGGTGATGAGATCTGAGCGTGGTTTCAGCCATGATAGAGATTCAGGGACTTCTTGTCCTCTCTCCTCTGCTGATATCTAGTTTACTCTCCATATCAGGTGATGTTGCACATGTTATTTCCTGCTTAATGATATTTAGGGGCACATTTAGATGTACACACCAGGGTATAAATATTACATCAGCCCAGCTCTGCACGGCTCTGTCAGCCCTGAGCTGCTTGATTCACAGATATCACAAAGCAGGTCATTATAGAAGTTAAGCAGTGGTTTTATTATATTTATCTATTACAAAAGGTCAAGCGCTGGTTCACGGAGAGCCATTTAGGAGAGTAGGTTAGCTCGGATTGTTGATTGATGGGTTGGTTTGTTTTGGGGTTTTTTTTTTCTGCTTTCAAACTGGTAACAAATCTCATGGAATGAAATAGTTTAAAACAGTTTAAACTGGAAACATTAAATTAAATGAAAAATAAAAAAGTCAGATTTTTTCCAATGACCTCTGCTAATCATAACATGCCTGTAACCCTGCATGACATCAGACTGATAAAGAGTGCCATTTCATCAGCCTTTCGTGCTTTGGAGTAGTCACCTATAGGAAGATGCAAAAACTGTACTGTAACCTCTTTGTAAAGTGGGCCACTACCTGTGTTACTGCAAAACACAGTAAGCAGTGGAGCCCAGACTGTATAACACATATTAATCATACAGAGAGGCGCAGGTGATTTCCTGTTTGGAGCTAACACTTCAACCATAGTAAATCAATTATTTTAACTGGCGCCACCTGCTTGTCAAAGGACAAGACATTAGTTTGATATAAAAACTTAAAATTATTGTAGCAAACTAAATCAAGTTGAAGTTAAATAAAATGAATAGCTCATCTTCACACTGAAAGTAGAAGTTGACCTTCTCCTTGTATGAAATAGACGGAATATCATCAAAAACCACTGCTGATTATTGAATTCTCGAGCAGTAATTTTCCAATGAACTATTACTAACTCCACTGATACAGTCATGACTCACTGTGGCACTTCTCTACACTCACAGCGATAGCTTTGCAAAAGAAAGTGTGACAAACCTTCAAAGTCACATGTGAGAGTTTTCTGGACACAAAGTTTTTCCACTTTTCCGTTTTGCGAAACGTACACCTCACATGTGGAAAAATATTATGGTTTCCAGTCGATAGAATAAGCCTTTTCATCTGGACCCGTCTTTTCATCCACACATGCACGGTGTCATTTCTGACCCGTGACAATACAGCATGGAAAAAGTTGACTTTTGGACGCGACACATGTTGGAGAAGCACATGTGTTGTTCATTTACACGTGGCTGACATCTTTGGATGAAAGGGGCAGAAATGGCCGGCGTTAAATCCCCACACGGAGAAACACCTCTGATTCTTATAGTGCCGATGAAGTCGATCTGTTTCAACCTGTACTGGAGATTTATAGCATTTTATATCCTGTGGGACAAATTGTAATGGTAAAGAATATGGACAGTGGCCATAGATCAGCCCCACTGTATTTCATTTATAGTATGCGTGTCCACGCACACAGCGCAGCAGCATTGTGAAATGTATTGTAATAGTCATGCAGCCGTCAGTGTATTATAGCTTTGTCAGCACGGAGATAAGTACTGACAGAGACAGAGGGGAGACATTTGAAGTTCTGAGCGCTGCTGTGGAGTGGAGTCAGAGTGCTTATTGATCAGAGCTGACTGCACTTGATGGATGCACGAAACGTTATTATAGCTTCAGCTGCTCTGGTTATGGTTATGGTGAGGGAGGTGTGCTGAAACAGAGAAAGATTAAAAAATAAAATAACATTTTTGGAAAGAGTCACATGTTTTCGAGACAAAACAGAGGAGCTGAGATGAAACAGGAATAGAGGTGAGATACAGACGATAGAAAACCAAGAGAGCGAGACGAGGTAAAAGAAAAAAAGAAAAAGAGATACGGGAAGTGAAAAGTCTGAGGGAGCCAGAGACGGAGGCGTCTGTGGGGGATGGTGTTGTGTGATAGGCCTGTCCACAGCACCAGCTTCTCCTTCTCCTTTTCCTTCTCCTTCTCCTTCTCCTCCGACTCTCTCCTACTCCTCACTTGATCCTGATAAGGCTGATGCTGGCTGATAAACAAATCAAGGTCTTTGATTGAACAAGGGCATCACATTGGGGCGCTTACTGGAAACTGGATCCATAATCACAACATCCAATTACAGTATATGGAGAAACAAAAGTAATGTCCAAGTGATTTTATACAGAGAAAAAATAAATTAGACAGCATTCAGCCAAGTATCCTGAGCTTTTTCAAGGAAAATTGAATTGTTTGGTCTTGCATACAGAAAAAAAACAACAACTTATTAATACAAAAGAATTCCACTGCTTGTTTTTGAAGGCGCCTTTTGGAACTAAGGCCCCCTTCCACAAGCTCCTAATGTGGGGTGATCTTGTAGATTAGGGTATCAGTATTGTCACAGATGTTTAATCTCTATCTTTGGCTCTTTTGTTTCAATCCAATGATATATAATATGTATCAAAATAAAAGCACAATACCACTGTCCAATGTTCAACACGTTATTAAGTTGATGCTGTCGTTGAATTAAGAATTTCTCAGACAAGAAGCCAGAAGTTTTAAGATGACTCCTCTTCAGTTAAATTTTCAGCATAGCTCAGATCTAACATTTAGACGCTGTCTACACCGTCTTAGGAAGAGGACAGTGCTTTTGGACTGTAGAGCTCTCCTTTTATTTTTGTACATATTTTCTTTCTTAAAGTTGGCTTAAAGTGACCACTTTGGCTAGCTCATTTCCATCTTAGCAGCAGTAATGGTTTTTGGGTCTTTCATTATTCTACCTCTACCATTTTGCTCTTTAAAATCCCATTTGAACTGTTTTAGTATTTCTTCCCACTCCAGACCTTTAAATTCTATTTTTCATGCTCTGTGGACATCAACCATGTATTTATTTATTTTTTAAATAATATGACTGCTCCCTACTGATGACATAACCGTGTGTCATACAAGAGCAATTCATTTTGTATGTTTTTACGATGGGATCAGATTAGCATCTGGTTGGAGAAAATGAACTTACAACGATCTAAAGAGAGGTCAAAGTGCAACATATAG